CATGCTTTTGGACCGTGCAAAAAGCTGTATTAAAGCAGAAGGAGACTATTTTGAATAAAATTAATTGATTTTGCCGATCAAACCATTTGTTCTGTCTTTTTTTTAAAAGTCCTGTTTACTTTGGAATGCACCTTGTATATGTTTGAACGAAACTTCTATCTTGCATTCCATGACAAAGTAAGAAAATTAATTTAATTAGATAATATCCACGCCCATGCCACGTACATAATTTTTTTGTTAACTGCAAAAAGAGCGATAACCCTCAAACGATTTTCGCTAACTAAAACAGATAGAGTATCTTATATGTCTTGAAACTCAACTAAAATACAAAATGTCCCAATCGATTCAAAATCCACAGATACCTATAGTTCTTCACCTTCTACATAAAATATCAAAATACCTAATATAATATATATAACGCTTTTCGAATTTTTGGTTGAGTTTATACCAAAAATATTGATCAATATGTAAGATATCTTAACTAACGTGATATGTACCTGTGATCTTGGCTATACTTTCGTTTGATGCTAAAACAAAAGAACCCACGAAAAACGAAGGAGTTTTGTTTGTACGAATATAGAAATCTTCACAATCCTGACGTCGTGCCTAATGTATTTTTCTTTCAAATGCCCTACGTAAAAAGTAACGGAACGGAACTTTCGAAACTGAATAAACCTTATTTCATTATTATTGGTTCAGAATTGGAAAGCTGGTTGATTTTGCTATCGTGCTTAAAGACAACAATATTCTTCCTCTACATAATTTGAAACTTCACTGAGAACGTCTGAAAAATAAGACAATAAATTTTAAATAATATTCTGACAAAACAAAAATTAAATGCATTCATATGCATATGTATATCTTTAATAAAATAGTGTACGAAGACACTGTTGGCTTCAATATTCATATTTAGGACTACAGTTAGACAAAAATATTTTATTTTTTTATTTTATATATATATATACTATTTAACTGTTTGAACGTGTTTCTTAACAAACCATTACCGGCATACGCCTCAGCATTCAACGCCTTTAAACACTACAAATTACATAGCCTTGCAAAGCCATGAAGGCGTGAATTATGATTTCACAAAGTAAACAGTATTTAGCGCTGCAATCTGAACATAGTAACACAAATTCCGATTTGGAAGAGCTTTTGATTATTTTTGGGATTGTTTTTTTTTTTTTTTTGATATTGTTATAAAAGAAAAGATGAAAAATAGACTTCTTTCAAAACTCACATCAAAAAGAACAACAAATAAAGCGTTATCTGTAAAGAGTAAAAAATCTGCTGGCTGAAGAAGATTTAACTAACTTAAACTTGTTTACAGTACAAAAGCTGCAACGCTGAGGCAACCAATCCAACAGACCGTAAAGCGTCAAAGGTAAACATGACAAGAGTCAATGAAAACCCGCGTAAACATACAAAAAACATGGTAAGAAAAAAAATTAAATACGTTATTAATTTGAACTCAACAAAACCTAGGAAATAGATTCGTTAAAACCGATTGAGAAGATAAATTTCAAATTATTATTTAGTAATTGTATAAATAGCATGCCAGCGAGTGTGAATATGTCATTCAATCACCATCAGTTGATAAAGCACAGCATAGCTATACAAAATAAATCAAAATGAAATTCGTCATTGTGTTCGTTGCCCTCTTCGCCGTGGCATTGGCTGCTCCTCCAGCACAGCAAGTTGAAATAGTACGTCAGGACTCCGATGTCCAACCCGACGGTTACCGCTTCGGTTATGAGACCAGCGATGGCTCCAAGCACGAAGAACAGGGTCAGCTGAACAATATCGGCACAGATGAGGAATCCATTTCCGTCAGAGGTTCATACAGTTTTGTTGCCGACGATGGCCAAGTCTACACTGTCAACTACATTGCCGATGAAAATGGTTTCCAACCACAAGGTGCTCATTTGCCTGTTGCTTAAATAGACAACTAGAAGTCAACGCGTCGAAGGATTTTTTGTTTGTACATTATTTGTGAGAGTATTATTGAGAGATAAAATTCAATAAAATACGCTTTATTATATTTTTTATACAAAAAAAGTGGATTTTAAATATTCTGGAGATCATTTTCCCCGAACTATGTAAATACTATATTATTATATGGCCTAGAGTTTAGACTCTAAACAACTCTATACTAACGCGCTTTCTGAATTGGATTAAGAAAACTATAGTCCTACAACGAATCGGTATATCGGTCAAATACTCTTCTGTAATACAATTCATTCTTGACGACGAAAAATAGCACTTTATAAATTATTCATCATATCTATTCTTCTAACATGAAGAGACACTCAGTTTATTAAGTTCATAAATGTTTCAATCATCATGTTCTAATCTAACCAATATACAATTTTCAAATCATATATAAAAGTAGAATTCGATACAGCAACACCAAGTAATACTGTTTATTGATGAGCTTACGTTTTTCAAGGTTGTTGCAGATAATAACATTTGAATCCCAAAAATAATAACTGAAACCTAGCCGACCAACTGTTGAGTTTTCGGGCACTTTGAAAAAGTCGCCTGAGTTTTAATGGCAACAATCATTCAGCGAACTGTCGACTGGACTCAGATGAGTAATGATATATCCATGTTGAACCATTGAAGATGCTGAGGCAGATTTTCCGTAACACTTATTAAGCTATTGCTTTGCATCAACGGTGACTATTCCAATCAGAAAAAATGGCTTATCAAAATACGATGAGATCCACTTTTTCAGTGTCATAAAACTTTGACAGCCTCTATAGTTCAGAGGAGAACAAACAAATTAACTACAGAGCCACACGACAACAACATCAATAAAAATTACAACAATATTGCTCTCGGGATATTATAACAATATTTCGTTTCAAAACTGTATTTCTACTAAAATAAGTGAATGCGAGCCAGTGAATAAATGACGACAGATTTTTGTCTTATAAATTTCGTGTGAGCAACCCCCACTGCTTATTGTTCTTAAAAAATGTCGTATTTGTTGTTAATGGTGTTGTTAGAAGTCAAAGTGAGCCAAGTGACTCACAAGAGGAGAATTACACATATTTCGGGCTTTTATGACCTTTGGCAAAATATTAGTAATTATATTTGTATCTAGTTATTTAAAAACCAAAACATATATATTGAATTGTTCAACAATCAAAACGTTTTTTTATTTATATCTTAACAAACAACAGATCACATCCAATTATGGTGCAATAACTTATGCTTCAGGGGCAACGGGCAAATGAGCACCTTGTGGTTGGAAACCGTTCTCATCGGCAACATAGGTGACGGTGTAGGTTTGACCATCATCAGCGACGAAAGAGTAAGAACCACGGGCAACAATGTGTTCATCCTCAGCGCCAACATTGACCAAATGACCTTCTTCGTCCTTTGATGTACCATCGCTGGTCTTCAAGCTATAAAACACAAACGAAAAAAAGTTATTTTCTTAAACTTTATGTGAATGTAGTTCAATCAACTTAATTCTATATAAATTAACTTGCAAATAAGGACTTTTTCACAGTATTAATGACTCACGCGTAGCTATATTTCTCGGGCTCAACATCGGATCTCAATTCGACGATTTCGGCTTGAGGAGCAGCTGGGGCAGCATAGGCCAAAGCGAAGAGGGCGACGAAAACAATAACGAATTTCATGATGATTTGGTGTTTTTGAATTTTGTGCTGGTTGTGCAGATTGCGAGATCAGACGACTAACTGTTGATCTTCAAAATTTCCAAGATGTTTTTATATAAAAGTTTTATAAAAACAAATGAATAACCAACAAAGGGCAAACGCGCATATATTTATTTAGTAATTCTTTAACACGCGTTACTTTTTGATGATGGTCTGGTGCGGAAAAAATAGTGTGAAACAAGTTTAGCTGGAATTAAAAAAAATTAGCATCAGCAACTTTATGCAAATATGTTTTGTCTAAAATTAGCAAAAGCCTACCAATGTAAATGAGTGGCGTTTAATGTGCAAATGGGAAAAGAAAACGGAGAAAGAAGAATACGAAGCGTAGTGTGAGAGAATTTAATAGTAGAATTAATTTATATTTATATCGCTAATAAATTATGAATTTCAATAATGACATTTATTTGAAAATGAGCCACATTTATACACGCATTTACCAATGTTTTGACGTCATTTCTAGAGCGTAGCTTTAGCAAACCGACGTCACTTAATTGATACAGCTAGTAATTCAATGCAAATTCAAAGTGGTAGACCATGCTGTCAAAGAGAGAGATCGTGTTGAAGGCAAGCCCCCACTGCTTATTGTTACTTAAAAAATGTCGTAATTTGTTGTTAATGGTGGTTGTTAGAGAGTCAAAATGAGGCAAGTGACTGCACAAGAGGAAATTACACATATTTCGGGCTTTTAATGACCTTTGGCACCAAATATTAGTAATATATTTGTATCCTAGTTTATTTTAAAAACCAAAACATATATATTGAATTGTTACACAATCAAAACGGTTTTTTATTTATATCTTAACAAACAACAGATCAACATCCATATGGTGCAAATAACTTATGCCTTCAGGGGCAACGGCGCAATGAGCACCTTGTGGTTGGAAACCGTTCTGCCCACTCGGCAAACTAGGTGACGGTGTAGGTTTGACATCATCAGCGACGAAAGGTAAGAACCCACGGGCACAACAATGTGTTCATCCTCAGCCAACATTGACGCAATGACCTTCTTCGTCCTTTGATGTACCACGCTGGCTTCAAAGCTATAAAAACACAAACGAAAACAAGTTATTTTCTTAAACTTTATGTGAATGTAGTTCAATCACTTAATTCCTATATAAATTACTTGTTCAAATAAGGACTTTTTCACAGTAATTAATGATGTTCACGCGTAGCTATAATTTCTCGGGCTTCAACATCGGATCTCAATTCGACGGATTTCGGCTTGGAGGAGGCAGCTGGGGCGCTATAGGCCAAAGCGAAGAGGGCAGAGAAAACAATACGAATTTCATGATGATTTGGTGTTTTTGAATTTTGTGCTGGTTGTGCAGATGCGAGATTCAGACGACTAACTGTTGATCTTCCAAAAATTTCCAAGATGTTTTTATATAAAGTTTTATAAAACAAATGAATAACCAACAAAGGGCAAACGCCGCCATAATCTATTATTTAGTAATTCTTTAACAACGCGTTACACTTTTTTGATGATGGTCTGGTGGCGGAAAAAATAGTGTGAAACAAGTTTAGGCACTGGAATTAAAAAATATTTAGCATAGCAACTTTATGCAAATATGTTGTTCTAACAATTAGCAAAAGCCTACCAATGTAAATGAGTGCGTTTACTGTGCGGCAAATGGAAAAGAAAAACGGAAGAAAGAAGAATACGAAGCGTAGTGTGAGAGAATTTAATAGTAGAATTAATTTATATTTATATCGCTAATAAGTTATGAATTTCATAATGACACTTAATTTGAAAACTTGGCCACATTTATACACGCATTTACCAATGTTTTTGACGTCATTCTAGTGCGTAGCTTTGGCAAACCGACGTCACTAATTGAT